AATCCTTTCTGAGAGTTGACAGCCTCACAGTGAGGAACAAAACTGGATTCTGGACTCTGGACTGGATGGTCTTGGGTTCGAGTCCCAGATGGGTCACTGCTGTTACACCTTGAGAAAGGTACTTCAGATTTGCATTCAGAACGGTCTTTTCGACTGATTGATCTGGTTAAATAAGGGATTAAAATAACAAAAGGGCTGCCTGCCAGTGTGCACAACTGAAAAATGAACAGCTTTTAAATTGTGAAACGTATCGTGCTGATTTGGATGCTTGTCAAACACAAACCTGATGATCAGTCTAAGGGCAAGGTAGAGCACAGGGCTCAGGAGGGGTTACAGAGGTCTCAAACGAGAGACGGCAATTTTGCACCTCCAGCTCAGTGACTAGGAGCTCACTGACCTGAGGAACTCATCCTGCTGTCTCTTGAAAGTGGCCAGGGTACCAGCTTCGACAGCATGGCTGGATAACTTGTTCCATACTCCCACCACCTATTGTGTAAAAAAAGTGCCTCCTGTCTTGATTGGAGAACCTTGAAAGAAACCAGGGCACTGGCTTCGTCAGCAGGGCTGGGCAGCTTGTTCCCGAATCCAGCCATACTGAGCTGAAAATTGTGCCACATGTTTTCAGCTGTGATTTGTGTACTGGCCCTGGTAGGTGAGGTTACCAGCTGAAATGAGGCAGGAGAGCACAGGTGTGTAGTACTCATGAGTATTGAATACTGATTTGTATTCCAGCTGAGCATCCAGTTTCTTGACTGAACGGGTTTTCACCTTAATTATTCAAGATTAGCCTCTGACGGAAGGATTTAAACTTTCCAGGACAACTTTTCATCCAGCACCTACTTGTTACTTGAGGATGCAGTACCTGAGGGGACGCTAGATGGCACTAGAGATTTCTGTTAAAACAGCGGTGTGGGTCTAATCACAACAATCAATCATTTAGTATTCCCTATTGGTCAGGATGTAAACTGCAAAAGAGGGAATTTCAAAAATACCAATGTAAACTATACTCCTTCTCAGTGAGTTATTTTAAATCTTCTCAGTACAGTATTTCTCAAGCAGTAGAAATGATAGAAAATTTGTTGATTACATAGAACAGTATTTACCCTAACCTACCCTGTTAGTGTTCAGGTATGTGGTTTCTCTGTTAGTCCGCCTACCAGTCAATCACGCTGTCTGTTAGCGCCTAGTTAAGGGGATTTTGCTTCACACACACCTGCTTGTCACACCTGTTGATCAGCCGGTTTGAGGCCGAGATGGACTGGTTTGAGACTGAATTACAAGTCTTCATTCATTCACTGAGACCGGCAGCATCACTAGCTGAAACTTCACTCATGTGATGTGTGAAACCACCCAGGGAAAATGAAAACCCTGTGCAGCAGCCAATCAGAATTTAGACCCAGCCTGTGTCGCACAGACTGACGTGTTAGTTTACAATGGTTTTTCTTTAGCCTGCAGAAATCTCTCATCAATCACTGGTCTTATAATTTAAAACTGTTGAATGGGATTGAAAGTTTGACTTACTCTGTGTCCCAAAACCATATCGGCAAGATTCTTGAACAGAGTGATGCAACTGATCAGTGCTCCAGTCTTTGATTATCTTTGTACCAGTATAATACTGCAAGTCATTTTAAATTGCTCAGGATCTAAAATAAAACTTCAATTTTTAAACATTTTAAAATTAGCTTTGTAAATTATTTTCTCATGTTTGAAAACAGATGCCATGCCTTTCACCCGTATGAAAGTTAAGAGGGTAGTTTCTAATGCTAAGCACTGTGGAAAGGAATGCAAACACACCTACATTTTAAATACCAAGGCTTGGGAACGTAAGAACATAAGAATTATTACAAAAGAGAGGAGGCTGTTCAGCTTTGGCAACTTGGGTGGGTTGTTTGTTCCCACCTCCCACCATCCTTTGTGTAAAAAAAGTGCCCTTATCATCATTGCACTTTTGTGTAACTTCTACTTAAGCCCTTAGAAATTGATTAGACTCAGAGACCAAATCTCTTTTGTTTTCTAACATGTTAAATCATCTAGAATATTATAAAGGAGTTTTTTAAAATCATAGGCTACATTGCTTAATTTACATTTTACACATTTTTTCTGAACAGCATCTTATTTTCTTCCACATTCTATACATTAACAATTCTCCTTTCGTAGTCTAGAAATCTCATTACAATCCGTAGGCCCTTCTTCCATTACTGTCCTTTATCGATTGTAATACTGCACACATATATTAGCATCCATTGCAATATTATTTTCACATTCTCTTATGAGTTTTCTAATGTCAGCCGACTGCATGGAATTGGGGAAAAAAGAAAGTCACTGGACTTCGTTACGTCAGATTAGAGGCCAAACAAATCTCTCCACCCAACAGAGATCCCCAACAGAGCCATTTCCACGCTTGGCATGGATTAAAATGACAAATGACAAAAGGCTTAAAAAGGGGGGCTTTTCGTCGGTTTCATCCCAGATATAATCCATGTAGCTTCAGAGGAAACGGATAACAAAAAAACATTTATTAAAAATTATTTTCTGAGTAAGTCACATGAGGTTGAGGTCTATCCCTACATTCAAAAGTAGGAGTAAAGTAGTGCAATTTGTTTTTCATATGGGTCAACAGTGTATTTCAGCAACAAAACACTCTTCATGTGATCAAGTGTCTGCAGATTCGGCAATACAGTAGTTTGTTTGCAGCAGTATGTAAACAGTTCATGCACCAATGTAAGAGGCAATTGTCCAAGCCAGGACACCAGTGCACACGAACACTGAGCATTAGTTCCGTCGATCCTGGATAAAGGTGAACTTAATTAGTCTTTTATTATTTCCAAGGCACCAAGGTAAATGGATACTTTGAGTGATCGAAATTGGGTTAAAGTAAAATTAGCTATCAACCCATTCCCACTAACAAGAAAGGGGTAACGGATTGATCTGTCAGTTATTTTTGAGCAGGTGCAACCCGTATGCATGCAAGGACCCTTATACTAACATTTGTATTCCTGTGTTTGTGTAGACTTGCAAGCATGCTCATTCCACCTTTAATTACTATTCCAGACTCCACGCATGGTGAAAATAGATCTGAAACAAATATGTTTGTTAATTGTACATAATATGCCATTTCGATTATATATATATAAAATCAGTGGTTGTCACTGATGTCTACTAACTGACAATGATGGCTCAGCTTTGGCCCAGTGCAGTTGCTTTAGCTAAGTAACAGACATCCTGCCATAAAAAACATGTAACTCATTTCATAACGTCTTGTTAAACACAAGGAGGTAAACCCACTTTAACAAACAGAGGCACTGAACGCTTTGTTAAAGCTCAAATCTAATGCATCTATACAGAGCAAAAACCAACAGAAACAAAAAACAATCATAAACCGTTTTCTGGGCAAATGTAAAGAAAATGAATCAGAGGGTAAAGAGGTATTCTACGTTTTCCAACTGGAACGGAGCAAATTTTCCAATCAATACTATAGAGATCTGTTCAATCAGCTGTGATGAAAGTTAATATGTTTGAGTTCAGAACAAGACTGGGCTATTGACCCTTTACTTATCATTCCCAGAATCAGGTGAAACCTGCCAATAAGAGATTCTTGTTGCAAGAAACAATGAGTCTTCATTCTATGACAGTCAGAATTCACTCATGGCTTATAACCTACAACATTGAAATACTTCCTTGATCTAAAAATTGTATGGACATTCAAGAAATGTGGTCAATGCAGGCTGCCAGCTATCTTTTTTTAAACAATTTTGTATTTTTGCCATCTTATACCTTTCCGATTTGCAATCAGCAATTGTTTCCTTATATCTCAGCTTCTCAGCTTCAATGAGCAGGAAGTCTAGAGGATCACAGTTACCAAGTTCCCTTTGGTGCCTACGAACCAGCCATGGCAACGGCTCACAAGTGCACCAGCACACCTAGACCGGACACAAAAAACACAGCAGCAACACAGCCACATTTATCCTCACACAGATGCACAATAAGGGCAGGAATGACCATGTGAAACTGCACAGCAGGAGTCTCCTCAGAGATCAGGTCTTTAGTGGTCCAGCCTCAAGAGCAGCCAAACATAAAGCACTCTCTTCATGAAATAGTTCTCCTGAGTGAGAAACGAGCGCAACAGGCAAGTGTTATAGGTCCTGTCACAGTCAGGCAGCTGGAGCTGAAGTTGCTTTGTGAAATATCCTCCTTGATTCAGCTTCCTGTCCGGTTTCTCGAAGTTAACTTACAGTTGGGAAGGCATGGACTTGTGCCCCTTGTACTGGTGATACAGTATCTACAGTGTAACCACTTAAACCCCTCCCCCCACCACCAGCCAACCACACACACCCCCACCCATGAACATGTCCATTTCACCCTAACACAGGTTCACGCACACCTCGCTCGCTCCCCGTCTGTCCCACAGAGCAGTCGCCCTCAGCACTCCTTCTGCGTTTTCGAGGAGCCCCTTATGGCAATGAAGGGCACCCCCAGGGACCAGTGGTCCTTGGGCCAGTACTGGATCTCGGGCAGGGCGTGGGGGATCTCGTGCAGGGCGTCGAAGTAGGCGATGAGAGTGCTGCCGTGCGCCGTGGCAACGACGATGAGTACGTGCCTGTGGACAGGGGACAGGGAGCGAAAGAGGGAAATGAACCCCCACACATGCTTAAGCACAGAACGGTTGTCTGTTGGCTGCTCGCTTACTCGGCTGCTTGCTCTCGCTCACCCTGTGACCCTGTACTGGATAGGTGGGTTAGAAAATATGTGGGTGGGTATATCCAAATAGGCAAAGATTACTACAGGTACATTGATGGGTTGGGGGATTTCAAATGTTGAAATCATCTATTGTGATCTTCTGGTTTGCACCCATTCAAGGAAATTGACATTTCTTCAACCACCCAGCTGTACAGCTTCCGCCTTTGTGCGGACACAGCGAACTGCCTAGAAACTACAGTTCAAGCTGAAAGAGCTACTGCTCTCGCCCATGTGACCGAGAGGGGCTGTTTTCCAGGGGTGCGTGTTCAAACAGCTCAGCAGCGATCTCGCTCTCTCACCAGATGCTGTGCAGGTAACAGAAGTTGATCCTCTTCCAGAAGTTACACAGGAAGCGGTCACTCAGCCAGCAGGCGATGGCCAGGGCCCACCAGAAGACAGAGACCCGTGCCAGCCTGTGAATCCTGGGATTGGTGCAACTGAGGGAGGCAAAGACAAAACAGCGCTCTGCTCACAGTCTGCATGTACGCACCTGTCACTAAGTCAGAGAGACAGAGTAGACTGCTGTCTGCTTGCATTCAAATGTCTGTGTTCTTAATTCTGGGCAGTAGTGTGGAATAGTGGTTTGGGTTCTGGACTCCTGACCAGGAGGTTGTGGGTTCAGATCACTTTTGTGACATCCTGCCGCAGTGCAGGACACCTTACACAGTTTGTATCTGTAAGTCACTTTGAATAAAAGTGTAATATATAGAAAGAATAATATTCTTGAGACCATTTGATTTAATTTGAGATTATTTCCTTGTATACTCTTCACCTTGGAGGGATTGAACACAACAAATTATATTGATAGGTAAATATGTATGCAAAATAGTACTCAGAAACAAAATTGGAAATTCAATGCTTTTATATCATATCAATCTTTTGATCTTTTGAAATACAACTTTCATTACTACACAGCAAAAACTATAAATTTCACTTCATTGCCCCTTACATACTTATGCTTTGCACTGCATATAATGTTTGTTGTATCATGCAAAATTACAACAGAAGTAAGGATGATAAAGGATTACCTCCATCTCTTGAAATGATTAGGATTAAAAGAATCACAGCTAGTCTAGATCACTGCAGCCTGTCTTCAATGGGAATGTTTGTGTCGTCATGTCTAGGACATCACTAGATCCAAGACCCCACCCCGCAAGGAGACCCCTTCATCAGCCAGCAGCCCCAGTCCTACCTGCGGAGCTCCAGCCCCAGGCAGTAGAGGATGTGCAGGGCGATGCAGTTGAGGGCGTAGGCATTAACAGTGGGTTTGGCGAAGGAGGACAGGGTGCTAAAGACCGTCGTCAGGAACACCAAAACGGAAAACTCCACCCTGCAGCCACAGCGCAGGACAGAAATGGAGACACAGTATGCCAGGTCATTTTTATTCTATTGTTAGAGATGCATGTTGTCTGCGTGAAAAAGGTTTGGTCCCTACATCACGATATCGCTGGTCTGGAATCAGATCCTGAAAGGGCAACATAAAGGAGCGTCTTACACACACAGGCTAAAGTAATGGAATCGCTACGTTGTGAACAGAGGAGACTTCAAGTGCCTTTGATGCAAGCATTGGTAATCCTCAGAGGTTCAACCGAAAGGGTCAATTAGAGCCAAGAGTGGAATAAAGACTGAGGGCACCCTAAGAGTGTGCATTTAGAAGACTAAAAGCAGGAGACGTTTCTCCAGACAAGGGCTTGCAGGTGCCTGGAATACTGAAGACACTGCCAGTCTTCTGGGAGAAGCAAATTCCCCGCGATTCTTCATTATTGACTGGACGAGATCCTCCAAACCTACACACACTGACATTTATTTATCAGAAGGTCTATTTCTCAGACCACGATTTTAGTGCTTTACTGCTCTTTGTACAACTACAAACTACATACGTGTAACTGTATATGTAGTATAAGTAAATATATAGAATTGCCATATAAGTGTAAGGAATTATTATTATAACTAAAACTACTACTACTGAAAACCTTTATAAAGGTAGCATCTTACCAATGTCAGCAGCTTATGTATTGGGATTATTAAGCTCCAGTAAAGAACATTTGTCATTTTGACTGTTTTATTGTTTTGTTTCAAAGTTTAATTCAGTACAATCATTGATAGTGGGGCTCTGTCTTGTGATTGGTTCCACTGTCCTTCAGAGAGTCAGTATCTGTAATGCGCGAGATATAGAGCAGTACTTGGGATCCCTCCGATTTAATGGTTTTGAATTATGTGCCCTTGAACAAACTAATTGCTCAAAAGTACGCAATGACAACGAGTCCTGCACCCTAAAGACACCAACGATAGGTATTCTTCACAACTGAATGTTTCCAATGTGTTGGTGATCTGTGTGGGTTTGGTTTCTTCAATATGTAAGTAATATCCCTTTTTTAACTTTGTCCCCCTCTCTCTACTGTATTTTTAAATAGCCTCCTGCATGCTTAAAGAGGTAACACCAGAGGATAAGGTGGTCAAAGAGAAGCACAATGCCACAGGTATCACAATACCCTGATAGCAAGAACATCCTCCCCAGCTCAGGCCTCCAACACTGGTATCCAGTGCTCAAGTTTCCCCTAATATCTCCACCAATCTTCACCTTTAACTCCACCACTGCCTCCTCCCGTTACACACAAGCAAACTGAGACCACTTTGCTTTCGATTTCTGCACCCTGACTAAAACTCTTCTCAGACACCATTGCCATTGGACTATTAGGGGGTTTAATATTTTAACCCAAATATCATGCTGTATTTCTATAAACATCAGTGCAATGTTGGACAAGCTGAATATTAATGTTGAACACCTCATTTCTGCCCCCAAGTTACCAAGGCTCACCTGTTCTTGATGAAGGAGGGAAAGTGTTTCCGTGGGAACCAGAGGGCATAGCCAACGGCCAGCACCCAGAGAATGGAGATCTCATCCAGCATCTGGCCCACATAGCTGAGAGTCATGTGAAAGTAAATGGAGAAGATCCCTGGAGGAGAAGGACAGAGGTGACCACTGAGAGAGGGGGCTTCGGCAAACAGGACCCATATCACACCACTGGTAATATGACTGCATATCAGAATTAATTACAATAAAACAAATTGTCTTGCGGTGAACAATTTTATCCAAAGCTTGAACTATACAGAATCAATAATTGCTGGTTTACACTAGTACGTTCAGTCAAAAACACAAGGACTTACAGTAAGTAACCTGGGCTATAGACAGTGATGCAATTGGGAACACTTCTCATGCTTTTTTCCTTAAGTAAGGGATCATCTGATCTCCAATAGGAAGCATCTATGCTTCTCTAATATTCTGATGTGAAGTGTCCAGGCAGGAGTGGAAACCTGATTCTTTGCCCGGGCCTTTGGTAATGCTCATACCAAATCTTGACCTAGTCACGGCAAAGCAGAGCTTATCCCAGAAGACGGGATGTTAGGGCAAGAGAGAAAAAGAACAGCCAGTCACTCCTAGCTGCCAATATTTTTGGGAGGTGGGAGGAAGCAGAAGCAGCTGGAGAAATCCCACCGGATCACGTGGAGAACAAACTCCGACGCCCGAAATCCAAGCCAGGGTCCTGCGGCTATGAGGCAGCAGCTCTCCCCAGCGCTGGCCACCGAGCTGCCCTGCTACGATCCGGACACTGAAAGGGTGCGAGCGCCGATCTCGGGGCCCGGGGCGGCGGCGCCTCTTACCCACGAAGATCATCATGAACCACACCAGGTGCACCGCCCGGCTCCTCTCCTTGGCGTAGGGGTGCAGCAGATACAGCATGAGTGGCGAGAAGAGGAAGAAGATGAAACTGCTCACCTGGAAACCCAAGAAACACAAAGACCGATCACTCCTCGCCCAGCCCAGCAGCCAGGCCTTTTGCCAAACACGACTGAGCCCCAGACCTCCCAGAAAATAGGTAACCTCGATCAGTGGATTAGTGTTGCTCTAGGTAGTACAAGGCCCAGTACAATATTGGTAGCCATCACCATGCAAAATGAAATTTAAGCATTCAGCCAAGATATTGAATTGGCTTTATTACTCTGCTCTCCTCCCCACTGATAGCTGGTGTGTGGTGAGCGTTCTGGCGCACTATGGCTGCCGTCGCATCATCCAGGTGGGGCTGCACACTGGTGGGGATCCCATTACCTGTAAAGCGCTTTGAGTGGAGTGTCCAGAAAAGCGCTATATAAGTGTAAGCAATTATTATAATTATATCACTCTTCCATTATTAATCCTTCCTAAATTTTAGGACCTTAAACCTCAGGCATATAATAAATGTCTAGGCCGATGTCCTTTGTAGACTGTTCTGTAAACTAACTCATTTATATCAATAGGGTCAATGGCACAATTAGAGTGCTGTTTAGAACAAACTTCTCAGTGGACTGGACTGGAATGGCCACACGTTTAGTGGTGCTGCACTGTGGCACAAGCACTTGAAACACCACTCGCATTGCACGGCAGCCTGCCTGTGTAGGCCCTGAGGTTTTTGGCGTTTATTTTCACCTCCACCCTTCAAGCAGAAAATAAATTGTCTAACCGAGAAGCACGCTGGTTCAATTCAGCATTCATTTAAGAGCTCAGCTGCAATGAGTCCCAGAGAAGCCTCTATAAAAGCAAACAGTTCCGAGTTTTATTCCACCCTCCCATCTTTTAATAAATCAAGCTCCTCATATCTCTTTTCTAAGGCTTTTCATAGACCAACCCGTACGCTCAATTCCAACGTTCACTTTGAGACAATGGCTGACAGCGGAGCCAGCTCCAGCTCTTGTTGGCTTAGCCATTGACTGCTGTAGCAACCCGTAAGGCAAATATTAATGTCAACCCGTGCGGCGATCCCCTCTTTTGTTACTCCACATGCAAACATTCACACGCAAGTCAACTATCGGAGACGGATGAAGCTTGGCAACGGCCCAGTGTCAAGGCAAGGGCCTCGGAGCGCACTTGCACTCCCAGACCTCAACAACTTTCTAACCAGCTCTACTGAAGAGGTTAGCTGTCTCCTTCTGGCTGCTCACGGTCCAGTCTGACGGGCTGCTTCGGAATCAACAACAATGCACGGACCATAGATCACGTAGAAACTGGGAAGAGCTTTTAAAAATGATATCAGGAGGCACTTTGTTTACACGAAGGGTGGTGGGAGTCTGGAACGAGTTACCCAGTCAAAACCCATGTGCCGGCTTCTTTGAAGAAAAAGCTGGATGAGATTTTCAGCGACTTACTACCAAACAGGCTAGATGGGCTGAATGGCTCTCTTGTTTGTAATCTTTATTGACATCTGCTATCAACAGACCCACAGATACCATGAAAATGTTTCTCAATAGTAAGTCTACAACATACTGAAGAAGTTTCAGATGAGGCTGTGTCACGGTAATGTTAAACAGCTGTGCGTTTGCAACACTCCTTCTTCTCTCTGTGCCAGCAGGAAAGTAAAAGCAGCTGTATCTGTATTTGCATAATGCGCCCATGAATGGATGACTGAGTTGTTCAGTTACACTGACTGATACTTCACCTGTATAATGTACAGAAATAAATATTTGCACTCCACCTTACAGACGAAGTTTTACAAATATTGTTTGTTAACCAGTAGGTCTGAGAGAGTGGATGCTGGCTTCATGGCCACAGAGCAGTAGATATAAGTACTACGGATGGACCTGTTCAATACATGCAGGGGTGTCATTTACACATGACCGGGCGCTTATCACGATAAGCTGTAAAGAAGCGAGGGGAAACAGTGAGACCGGAGAGAGGGGAAAGCTCTGTGAAAGATGTGACAGGTGTAGGATAAAGCACAGGCGGAGCTCAAGCCACACGCTGCTGCATTACCGTGTTGTAGAACTCGGCCACCGTCTCCGAGTGCCTGTAGTTGTCCTCACACCAGTCCACCTCCGAGCTCTCGTAGGAGAAGACTCCCGCCATCCCGCAGATCCTGGGCGCGGTCCGTCCCGCTTTTGAGAAACGCTGCACAGGCCAGACCTGCAGGGCAGGAGCAGGGAAGGGTTAGCCGTGCCACCCCTATCAGGACGCCCCTGAGCACACAGAGAAGTGTGTTACTGCAAGCAGCAAGGTGGACCGTTTCCTGGAAGCCTGGCTGCAGGTGGGGCACGCACGCAGGGGGGGAACGGAAGGTCACCCCTGAACCTGGCCTGGTAGTCTTCAGAAGGTGGGAGGAAGCCGGAGCTCCCAGGACGGCCCCACACAAACTCAGGGGGAGAACGGGCAAAGTGAAGGACTGCAAGCACAGCCGGGACCCAGGAGCTAGACGGACAGCCGCAACAGTCAATGCGAATGAGTACAAACCTGGAAAGCACGTTAGTTTTCCCATAGTCAAGCAAGTGACTGACCCAGTTAACTCCCTTGTAGGACAAACCAGACGATCACATTCCAGGAGCACAGATGGCACCCCTATTCTATACCAGTGCACAACACTCCACGTCTTATATCAATACCTCTCCGGGCGTGCACGTAAAGGTATTTACATTTGAAATAATGAGCAGAAAAGTTTGTATATCGAGCTCTATTGTTTGTTGATTAAACAAAATACTGATCCCAAGTGATGCGATATCAGAAGAACGGCAGGAGCTCGGGTTAAAACCGCACAAATCGGTGTGTCCTGGCACACCAGCTGAGGACACTGTAGGCGTTTGGCAAAACACTGACGCAGGCCTTAAGACCACATGGCAGCACAATTACAATGACAGGACTTGAGAAAGGAAGTTCTCCTGTGGGGAGGTCTCCCCCGTGCCAGTGAGGCAGCCGTGTCTGGTCGGCACCCCCTCACTTTGCAATGCTCTCTTTTTCCACAGAGTGACGGATTTCATACCAGAAACGCACCACCTGTCTTCCACCTCTGTTCTCGTTCAGTTTGCTGGTATTGTTTCATACAAGCCCACACACCCACCCCCTGTCTGACCTCTTGATCCACTTCAGGGTCACGGGGGACCCGGAGCAGCAGGCAGGGTACACCCCGGACAGGACGTCTGTCCCATTGCAGGGTAGACAATTGCAGGCACGCGCACAGTCACACCAGGGCCAGTTTCCCAGAAGCCAAGTCACCTACCAGTCAGTCTTCGGACTGTGGGAGGAAACCAAAGCACCATGAGGAAACCCACGAGAACATGCAAACTCCACACAGACAGCACCCCAGGTCCAGAACTGAGCCTAGGAACCGGTCTCAACACCGTGAGGCAGCAATGCTGACCACAGTGCCACCGTGTCACTCCTCATTAAAGTCATCGCTGGTCATTATGTTCTATATATCCCTAAGCAGACAGTTAAACAATCAACCTATCTAATTAACGAATATACTCTGGTGTTGAATATGCTGCTTGAGGTGGATACACGAAACATCTCAAATCGCAAAATCACCGTGTCCCAGCAGAGGATGAACACAAGAGCTTTCGAGCCACAGAAACAAACTGGGCGGTCAAGATACTCTAGATCAGAGAGCACTAGAAATATACCATATATAAATGGTATGTATCAGGGAATAATACCTTTACAGATCTCGGATCAGAAATCACGTCTGATTTACCCACTAAGCTACACTGAACCTGGAATCAGGGGTGTCTTCCTTAGGAATGCTGTATCCATGTGCGGTTTCAACGGCTGTTTTGATTCTCAATTTTGATTTTCCAGTTTTTTGGAAATGCAATCGTAATCCACTTACTCCTAGTCAAACTCTGGAATGATCATTCAGATGCAAGCTTCCATATCGATGCGGAACTCCAATTTTAGAATCGTAGCGAGAGAGATTTTATTACGCCGATGTTTCTGTCTTCATTGTATTTAAAATATTGATTTTAAATGATGGGCTGAGAAGCACGAGGTGCCGGTGTCGCGTCATAGGGACAACCATGAGAAACCTAGTAAAAATACGCTAAGTAGTTTACCGATCCTGATAAAACGGTAACTCATCCGTCATTGTAGTTATACGGATTTAAAGTAAAAGCAAACTTTCTCCAGAGTTTGTCAGTCAGGATGTTTAGGATAAAGGGTCACTATTTTTTATAAAGGAGATAATATTTTAACTTACGCGACTACTCATTCAACCCGATTTTTGGATTTTTAGATTGTCCTCACAAGGCTCATTATTTTTTTAACGGTAGCGTTCTCTTTGAAACCTGCACAGGTGAGCAGGATTCACGTTGCTTTTTGTGCGCTAAAGAGTCAAGGAAACTTGGTTGCCCCAACAGAAAACATGTCATACGAGCTGGGACCAACCTTTTCTACTGGAGATTTCTATGTTCATCTTCTGAAACACCATGACAACCAGAACACAAAGCAAAATTAAAATTAAAAAACACCTGATTGTCCTCCCTACCGTCTCAGTGAAATTGAGACACGCGTGTCCATTTGGATACACAGCAAAAAAAAATTAAAATACAGTAACCCGTTGGCTAGCATGCAGAACACAAATCACGTTACCAAAAAATCCCAGAGAGTCGACTTCTTGCATTGTGACTGGAATGCAGCCCTACTAAAAGGTGAAGGTTTCATTGACTGAAGTATGAAATAAAAAACGCTGCACAAAACAAATGGTTTCTACCTGATTTAAAATGCATTCGTACCAGATTCAAATCGCCCATTAAAAAAAGACACATGAATAAAGGGATCACATTAGACACTAAGCAGTTCACGAGAGATCACGCTACTTACAGCTTGTCAGTACAACACAGGCAGGTGCTCGGGTGCAGAGGTGGTGTCGGTACTCAGCACTAGAAATGATCCCCAGCCAGGTCCTCAGGCTGAGGAACCGGCCCGCAGTGACATCACTCCGCGGCATGCAGGTGAACTGGCCCAGCCGCTCCGCCGCTGACTGGTTTCCCCAGGAATTCGGCGCTTGCGCGAGTCGGGTTGTGTTGTGTGTTTTTTTTTTTGCAGAGATGCTAGCGCTGTCCGGGTCACGATATCGGTATCGTAACTTCAAGCTGGCATTTACAACTACAGTAGTTGTCGTTCACGTACTTGTATCGTAGTGTGTCCACCTGAGCTACCGAGCTTAAAAAGGGAACGCCTCTGTATTTATCTGCACATTTTAAAACTGGGAGAGTTTCTAGTCATTTCGCCTTGTTTTCGGTGTCTGTGTGGCCGGTAACACTGGGCTAGCTTAGGAAATAACTACTATTAACTGGGAATCCCCCCTTGATGTTTCCGCTAGTTTCACATAGAATGGTTTCTGCCGTCAAAAACATGGTGTTGACAGCACTGTTACACCAGCCCTGAAAACTGAAACTTTTGGGCGTTAGGTAAAATGATTAAAATCGCCAAGAAGGGGGTCTTTAAAGCTGGCACACGGCTCAAGTGATTCAAACGTTGTAGGGGCGGCTGTTTGTGCCGCCCGAGCCAGTGGGATGTTTCTAGTTCACTTGGTGAATGTCTGGTATCCAAAACAATTCAAACTTAATTGGCCTGGTTTGGGCATTGACGGGCGTTTGAACGGATCGTGCCGGGGCGATGGCAACAGGACAGCTGCCAGGAAGGCGCATTTATGCTGCTTGTCCGTGCGCTTCGCCCTCAGTCAAATACGTGCCTACGATTCAGGGAGACCCCACCCCAGCACGGCACCGGACACACAGGGAACTACCCAGGCGCTACAGCTGATATAACCAATCCCCCCAACAGCAAAATGTCTGCGCGGCTTCAATCCACACGTCTCCTTTGCTTTCATCCAATGTGCCAGTCGGCCCACGCCAACATTGCTCTTATATCTCAGGCAAGAGATATAAGAGCATACGGACACTTACCACTAGATTCTTCAATAGCTTCTATCCACAAGCAGTGAGACTGGCGAACACATTTAGCCATCCCCCTCGGACCACACCTACACCATCACCATCTACCTCATTGTAATTTATTTATTGTACGTCTCCAGTCATTGTTTACACGTCTGTATTGTTTACATTCAAACTGTCTGCATGTTTACTTGCACATTGTCTATTGTTTGTACATTGTCTTGATGCACTGTTTGCACTTTGTTTTGTTTTTTACACTTGTTTTACAATCGAGAGACTTTCTGTAAGTAAGAATTCCATTGTACCAGTACCGGTTACATATGGCAATAAAGTTCAAGTTCAAGTTCACATTGTCGCCTGAGAGGAAGGAGTCACAGTCCCGAACCCTTTCTGAATATGTCTTCTCTACGAACAGCAGGGGCGAGTCAGTTAAAAGCTAACGAATCCCTGTACGTCTTCGGTTGAACCGTAATCTAGCTGCCTGGGAGGTTAACAATCTCGGAGAGATTCACGCTCACGCACGCACACACAAAAGTGTGGCGAGGGTTACTGACCTGACAGGTATGACCCAACATCTCGAGAAACCGGTGGATCCAGTTCGGCGACAAAGCCCTTGAACAATAGCGGCTTGGAGCACCTGTGCCGGTCTGGGGAGCGCTGGACAGCAACAGGCTGAGCAAACCTGTGTCACAGCATGCCAGCGGGGCGGATGAGCAAACCGACACAGCAAGCGGTCATGACACAAGCGCAGGGATTCCTCATTCCACCCGATCATCAAACTAAGACACTCAATTAAACTACTGAAGGTTTTCACGGACCCCCCATTCCCCTTTAGAGTTTAATTACTTACGTCGAATTTATAACGCAGAAGGACCTAGATTTATTCCAAAAATAAAGTACAACTACAGAGACAGCTCGTCAAGGTTTATGGTTCAATTAAGACCGGATGCCAGGGCCAGAACCGACCTGTTTCGTCCCCCCCAACAATTAGCAGGAAAAAATAATCGCGGCCGAAGTCACAGCTGACTCATTAAAGGATCGAGCGGCTATCACACCGAGCGAGCAAGAGCGAATCACTCCTGCCGCTCCTCCAGTCCAGCACGGGTGACAGCTTACCCCGAAATCATCCGTTTCTAGACCCTGCATAACTGAACTGAGATCAGTCAGGCCGGTGACTTGTTCAATAATTAAGACGTCTGCCCGCCTCACGGAAAACAAGAGAATTAAACGAGAATTTGAGTTCCTAGCCTTGGAGAAAAACCTTCCCAGCATTAGGGATACAGACTCCAGCCCCAGCTGGCTTCACACCCCGAACAGCTGCAGTTTTCAGTCGGCTTTAACTGCTCTTGCAATCTAAACTTACGCTTTTCATATCCGTACCGTGAATATCACCTTGCTTAACGGTTAAGATCACAGATCACTCGGCTGGAAGTGCATGTTTTAAACTTACGGGGCACTTTCTTTATCGTATTAAAGAAAATCGTTTAGTTAGAAGCGGCGTCAATTAAAGAACGACCAAATCCAATTTTGATCAATTTGGTCCAAATTTAGGTGCGACTTCACCTATCAGGCGCGCTAAATCAGGATCTCCATTTAAAAAAGAGCGAGTTCATAGAAAAGCCAAGAAAACGCAACTATCCTTGTTACCATTTCTCTTTATGAGTTCCGTGACTTCAGGAAATCAGTTTACTCAAATTTGAATGCATGCGGAAGTATTGACATCTATTCATACCGATTTGGGAATTCTTAATTCGAGTTCGCCATTTCGGAATGTTGCTTAGTATAAAAACACCTTAAATCAAAACCAGATGAACTGGTCACATTTCGAGTCTCCCAAATATCTAGTCGCTCAATGACCTGTAGTTTATTGAACCCAAGACAAGGAATATGCACACAGGCAAAACCTAACTTCGATATATTTAAGACGCACACATACGCAAGACACTGTGAAGTAAACACACTCCGTTAAAAACCACACGGTGAATCTAAACTGAAAACTGTACAGGAAAAAAACTTATCAATGCACTCTGAATGACACCTACTACAATGGCATCGGTTTCGCCGTCTAAGGTGAATAAATTGCATCCATCACACATACCCATATACAGTACATTTACATCAATTTAAAAGTATTTGTAATATTAAAAAAATGGGGAGTTGTGGAAGGTGAACGCTAAGGTTTTCAATGACGAGTATTCATCGGGCTCGACAGGTTCTCCCGCTGTCCCGCGAAAGTCCCCACGGCCACGGACTGTAGCCCTGAAGTTGCAGTGGCTCCCGGCGCTGCTGCGTTTCCATCCCCGCTGGGCTCCTCGCTGGAGTCGGACTTCAAGGCGGCCGCTGTCCGCACCATCGCGCCTCTCCACCCGGCTCGCTCGAGTGCGCCCCAAGTGGACGAAACGGGCACCAGCGACGACTTCGATCCCGACTGGCGGAGGGAAACGGATCAAGCCGGAAGAGTTCTGCACACCGAGTTCGGGCGAGGGCCCTCCTGCCAGACCGGGCCTCTCGCTGGGGAAGAGTTCTCTCGGCACACAGCCCAGGCGTCTCTGGACTGTGGGAAAACACCAGCAGCACATCTTTCACACCAACATCATTGTCGGGGGAGACGGAAGACCCCAAATCTGTTTGGTAATTAAATAAAGATGCCTTTTCTTTTCAAAAGCTCAACTCACCACCCACTGGGTCAACATGTTTAATAAAAAGGAGGGGGGGAGGTTGAACTAAATACGAGTTTTTCCAATAAAAAAAATTAGCAGGAGTCCGTAAAAACTTTGGGACAGCATAACACTGGAGTTTCAGAGCTCGGGAAAAGACTGGACGTTTCACAGTTTCCAGTAGGAGCAAGACCGTTTACAGCACTTGAACAGGTTTTGGCAAGTTGTCAATGGAAAAAAAACAACACAAGGCCCGGCCAGCATTAAAATAAAGATCCCAGGCCCTTGCCCATCTGTAAAAGACACTTGAGCTGCGTACGAACCGGGGTCTCGCTGCCACAGGCCCGCGACCACGGCTTTCGAACACTCGCTTAAAAATCAAGGGTTGGGGGTCAACGCGGCGGCACGCCCACACACAAAAACAGGAAGAAGCACATCTGAAACTGCCCTCCTGGGGGCTCTTCGGGGCCAAACAGAGGAGGGGACTCCCTCCAGGAGCACAGGACAGGCGTGGGGTCTGTCTTGACTGCAGCACTGCAAGAGCGTCTGTACAGACCAGCACTGCCCTGGCACCCATCACTCGTCATCTTCTTCATCCTCCTCCTCCTCCTCGTCGTCGTCTTCGTCATCCTCCCCCTCGTCGTCGTCGCCCCGTTTCCGCTTCGCCCCTCGGCTGGTTTCTGAAAGCAGACGGGGGACCATTCACCTCCTGTTACAGGCTGTTTCCCCTTTCCTCACTATCCAGGTATTACCAAAACATCCGTTCCTTCTTTTCAGCACAGAAACTTTTTTTTCAGCAATACGAACCCTCTTCATCATCTTCTTCCTCATCTAGCGTTTCGCTGTCATCCTCTTCTTCATCATCCTCATCTTCCTGAAGGAGAAGCAGTCACTGGTTAAATCTCCCAAGAGAAGGGACTGCAAAGCTCTCGAGCCACGAGAGGATATTGATTCAGCCAGGCGTCCAGTTTACTCAGTGTGACGGCCCACCCCTGTCTCCTTGGCTGGAGGAAACATTCAGAATAAACCTCAACTTCCAGCTGGGTTTATAAACACATGGGAATCTAACCTCCTCAGTTTTAGGTGTACAAAATTCACCAAAATAAAAAACAACAAACTTTCCCTTCCTCAGTCCTTTAACATCCAACACATTTAGTGTTGCGTAACTCCTCAGGTTACACACTAGACTTCACATACAACCATCATAACCTATCTAAAAAAAGTTTTGTGTACATTAATGGAAACTTCTTATAATTGCGTAGCACCCTCATAAATCACTTCCACCATTTCATCCATGAACTGGTTTGTGATAGTAGCATTGAATACTGCCCATTCGTCGGTACACATGAACACGTTTCTGTATTACAAACTTCAGCCCATAAGTGTCACTGTCCAGGTGGTTTGATAGGTATCTCTACAATCTCCAGCTTATTAAGCAGCTAACAAGTTCAATTAGATAATTAAGGGCTCAGCTGGAAGGAACCCTGGACACCTTCTGCCCTCCAAGACTGAACTTGTGCTCCCCTGATGTAAAATAAGCAGTGCATCAACCTACCAGTGTCAAAGTGTAACTAACCTTCTCAAGAGTAAAATTCAGTTTATGGAATGGTTTATGCAAGTTATTTACTGTTTGTATAAGACTTTTTACAAAATGTAAACCAGTTAGCCCCCCCATTTAGTCCAATTACGACTTGGGTGTCCAACTACAGCCCTGGAGAGCCCCAATCTAGTTAGTCTTGGGTATCAATTTCCTAAGAAACGGGAAATCCTATACATTTTTGAAGACGTTTAAGTCTTAAAGGCTGAGGGGGCACTAAGTGTTTGGTCCTAAATGATCTCTAAATTGCTCAGTTTAAGAAATCACTTGCTTGACTGATAATTAAAGTGCTACAAGCCTTTAGAAGCCTATAGAACCTACTGGCCTGGGCTCTGCAGCGCCACCACAGGTAGAATTATTGCCACTCCCTCAATGAGGGTCAGCATTTCACAATCTCTTCCCGTCAGTAATCATAAAGGGCTTACACCGCCTTCGTCATCGTCATCATCATCATCGTCGTCGTCTTCATCCTCCACATCCAGGTCTTCCTCGTCCAAGTCTTCTTCCTCATCCTCCTCCTCTTCCTCCCCGTTCTCCCCAGCCTCACCTGCAATGCACCCCCCCCATGAAGAAGAGGAGACAGTGCACTGTCACAGGGCTCAGCAGCTGCCTCCTGCACCATCACTCACCACAGCCCTGAGAGAGGCATTGCATCAACACGGAAGGACTGCTTGGAAAACAGGATCTTCAACGGACCAAATCAAGTTTTCACTCATTTCCAGATGTCTCTCCTTCAGCCTTTCTAAAGGCCAGATCTGAACAAGATCATTTCTGTGGCATAATGACAATGCACCTGGAACATCCTGCATCAGGAACACACCGCTACTTTTCCTTTAAAACGTTCTTACAGTTAGTGCCACAGATTCACAGACACCCACTACAGATCCCTTCCATGCTTGCAGCCTGCATGGAACCAATGAGACTCCCAGCCTCCCCAACACTCGCTGCTGTAGTCCATTCTACACCCCCACCAGCAGGGGGCGAGAGGCACTGTCCAAACTGGCAACCAGTGCACTGTTCTAGAAGTGGTCACGCACCGACTTAACCATAATCTCTACATCTCAATCCACACACCAAGGAAGAAAGGAAGATATGCAGGAACACGCATGTGAACCCCTGCATGAACCACTTCGGCTCTGTAACCAGGCTGGACTCACCTTCCCCGCCCAGCTCCAGGTCCGAGTCCGGGGCCTCCTGGCCATCGGCATCAAGGCCGTCCAGGTAGGCGAGCTGGGGGAGCAGCTCCAGCACGCTGTCCCGGTACTCCTGCAGCATGGTCACCTCGCAGTTAAACAGGTCCAGACTGCTCAGGAGGGGCAGCTTCTTCTGCAGAGCACAGACACACGGAGCTGAGCACACGGAGCTGAGCACACGGAGCTGAGCACACGGAGCTGAGCACACGGAGCTGAGCACACGGAGCTGAGCACACGGAGCTGAGCCTTTCAGCTGCAACTCCTGCAGCTGCGTGAACCAGATTCTTCAAAAAAACAAGCCCTTGTGCCACAAAAAAGGTTTTTAACAATGCTACGTTCATTTGTCTACATGAAGCATGAAGTGCTAAAACTCCCAGCTAAAAGATCGGTGGATAAGCAACAGCTCGATCAGAGGAAGGAATCTGGGCACCGAGGTAAAAATCAAATGTTATTTTGCCGCTGCAATACAGAAGAAGAAAAGAGCAAGTTATATTCAAGAGATGAAAAGAAAAGTCCTACCCTGGAAAACTAAAAGCAATCTTTTTAGATCTGAACCGAGATCATTCGAGTCAAGTATTCCACATCCTTTACACCACCGACAAAGCCAACCCAATGAACTTCTACAACTTTCCAAACTGGGGGACTAGAGGAAACTACAGGAACATGCACTTCAAACAAAACAGGAGGCGCTTCTTTACACAAAGGGTTGTGGGAGTATGAAACACGCTGTCCAGCCCTCTTGCTTTAGATGCCACCCTGGCTTCTTTTAAGAAGCAGCAGGACAAGACCCTCAGGTCCATCAGCAACCAAGTAATCTTAATGGGCTAGATGGCCCTCATGGTCTTGCTTAGTGACCTCATTTAGAGACAGATCCTATATCCAGCTAAATTCGCAAAGGTGCAACCCACTGTCATCTCCTTCATTTGACTCTCCTCCACACAGACGCAACCCACAAAATTAAAAGAAATAACAGAACAAGCGATGTGGAGGATTCTGTTACTTACGAACCTCGAACCAGCAGCACCACCGCTGGTCAAAAAGCAGAAGCACTCTGCTAAATCACACCTTGCCCTCAGCAGACCGTGCAGGAGTGACGACTGAGCCATAAATTCAGCTTAACCCTTCTTCTACCACAAAGTCAGGATGCCGACCACAGGAAGAAAGGTTACAAGAAACGCAGTGCAGGTCTCGGAATGCCTCCACTTTCAGATCAAGGTGCCCCAGATCCCAGGACCAGTAAGCACCTCACTTCCCCCGACCAGCTAGTCCTGGTGCTCCTGCTCAGACTGTCCTACCAGCGGCTCCAGAGCCCGCAGATCCTTGATCTTGTTCTCGCTCAGGTTGAGGTGAGTCAGGTTGGGCGTCTTCTCTGCCAGCTTCTCCAGACCCCCGGCGAGCCTGTTCTCGCTCAGATCCAGCTGCAACACAACAAACGCCGTAAAACACCAGTCGTTCCCGCGGGTACAGAGCCCGACAGCGGGGGATCCCTCCGAGCCCCCTGGAGTCTGAGCTGGGAACGCGGTTTTTAAAAACTAAACTGGGAATTTAAAACTGGAAACGTCCGGCATTCTCAGAGCGTTGTCACCCGTGAGGCTTGGGCACATTCATCACTACACATTTCCAGCCCTAAGATGACCACAGGCCCCCCTCTACAGTCCAGTGTACTCAATACGAGTCCACTAACGCCCTCTGAAGCACGAGTGTTTGAAATGAAGCACAGGTTTCACTTCCTGTTCCTGTCCGCTCCTTCCCACCTGTTCCCCGCAGGAAGCGCCCGTCGGGGCCGGAAGGCACAGGGCAGCCCTACCTTCCTGAGCTTGTCCAGCTGGGGCAGGTTGTCCAGGGACACCAGGCCGACGTTGGCCACGCTGAGGCACTGCAGGGTCTCGAAGTCGGCGGTGACGCCGGACACGCGGCCGCCGTCCGACCGGCAGTTGTCCAGCACCAGCTCCTTGACCTGCGGGCAGAGCGCAGCTCATCACCCTGGGACCTCTCCCCCCCCACACACCCGGGCCCCCAGTCCGGGCCCCGGAGCAGGGATGCCGCGTCTGAGGGGGTTTTCCAGGTCTCCTGGGAGAGGCTGTCCCACCCCTCCAATGGAGCCATTAACGAGCTGAGAGCCCAGCTGGACCAAAAACCTCCGGGACCAGGGTGGGGGACCCCTGGATAACAGGGACAGGGACCCCAAATGTACAGCGCAGCTCAGTGGGGATGCAATGGGGAGCCCAACGTCACAACCCTGCGTGCACATTCACCCCACTAAGAGCTGTCCATGTTGAGGTCACTGCAGCTGGGAAGCCGTTAGCACAGATTCAACCAAGACTCTGACCTGGATGAAGTGGGGCTCTTCCTATATTTAAAGCACTATAAATTCAGCCAATTATCATATCCCCCTAGAACTGGAACAAAACAAGCAAAACCAATATTTGCAGTAAACTTTAACCATGATGAGACAAGGCATAGTCATCCTAGGAACCATACCGCTTGCAAAATAAAAAATTTCATTTCATTTGCAAAAACCACAGCACTTAGAAGGCAGTAACGCAGAAGTTAAAACACGCCAGGCTTTTGCTTAACAGAAATAGGAGCATTTTTACATCACTGTAGAAAATCTCTTCCATGCACTCCTTATGAAGTAGTCTCTCTAGTATGTCTGTAAATAACTTTTCTTAAAGTCTGCTCCGTACAGTAACTGGGCTTCAGGATCAAGACGATGTTTATTGACCTTTCGGCCATTTGCATCGCAAGTCTCGGTTTAATCAATCAGTCTCACCGCAGGCGGGGGCCCACAAGCTGGCAGTTCGGCCTATACCCTGTTTCCAAATCACACGCACGACACAGGTGGGGCTGGCGTTCCTGTATTGAGTCCACACTGAAATGTGTTGTGATTGAAACAACCCTGTTTCTACCGGCGCAAAGTCACTGCGCTCTCTGCAGGGAAGCGGTGCTGTTCATAGATGCACCCCAACTCTATTGTTGGAAAAGAACACGAATATTACAGTAGACCGCTTGAAAACAGATTCTTCTAGTAAGAAGAGTTTTTGTGTCCCTCGACCTTATTGCGCACAAATTTTCAGCGGCCGTTAATGCTCCCGAATACTGCAGGGTTTTAATATATAGTTCTCCGTGACATATCAAGGTGATTTTGACCAAGACAAACCCAAAGATGGGCGTCCTCGGAAATCAGCAAATGAATTAAAAACTGTGTAGAAACTTTAAAGTGACTTGAGACTGCTTTTTAAACCTCCTGCTTCACCGAGGTTTTGGGAACTAGCCGAAGAAGGCGGTTTTCCAAGCCATCTGCGGCGTTTGAGTTTCTTGCAAGCCGGGTCTGTGTGAAGTTGTGGACGAAGCCCCAGCAGTTTTCCCCTCTCCGGACACGCGTGGGCCAGTCACTGACCCCCTACGGCCACCGCCGAGAGGCAGACGGCTCCACAACACCGCCGACACGCCTCCTCCGAGACCAACGGCCAACGCACCAAATGGCCCGAAACGAGCCTTTCCTACTCACGAGTGTTAGAACTAAAACGCACAGGTCCGCGCCGAAGGCCCACGGGGCTCGAACCCGATGCAACATCAAGGGCGCCGCGGCCCCCGAGCGAGCGAGCTCGCGGATGCGGGTTTGCCGGATTTCCACGCACGTGCTCGCCCAGCCCGGCTAGATTACAAACTTCACGGGCAAAACACAGTCGCAAAGATGCCAAACCGGAGCCTCCTCGATCTTGTACGGGGGGGGGTATTCCGTTCCTGCCCCTCCCCGCTTTAATTCACCTCATTTTATTAACCCTCGGTAAATTATCTTAAACTTTTAAAACATATCGCCTTATTATTTACCAGTGTGTACTTACGTCTGCTGGTTTCCTGTTCCGCAGCTCAAGGCTGATTCTTTTCCGCATTTCCATGTTTTTCCCGATTTTCCCCCGCAGTTACCCCACGCTGAAAGCGCAGCGAGAACGAAATAATAATATATATATATATGCTGCCCACAAAACTTTAGACTGAAGTCCAGTTCCTTTCAGTCTCGCACGCAGCTCCAGGCGCCAAGCTGCACAAAGAACTAAGCGAACCCTGCTCAGCCCTGCCCCCCACTGGTTATAACCGGGCGTTGCATCCAATCAGACGAGTAAACGCAGTCAGCGTGCGGAGCAGCCTGACCACAGTCTCCCCCTGTTTCCGCCGGAGGTCAACCGGCGTGAACAGCACGGCACGCTTAAGCGATTTGCTAGAAAGCGTCACATCAGGCTTTATAATTAACAACCATTAGGACTCATTTATTGCACACAGGTATTAAGCACCGATTTTAATTTTAACCAGGGCCCTAATGCTGAATTTGCGTGTCTTTCAGTTCGAGGGCAGTTTCTGAGGTCCCATCTCAGTGTCCGGCTTAAAAGCAGAGCTAGGTGGTCACCCTATCTCATACCCAGACACTGTGCGTCAACTCTGTGTGCCTGTAGAATAAATACAGGGGTCCCGTCTCAATCCAGAGACACGCAGGCCAGGAAAACTGTTCCCTGCGAGGGACTGGTGTCCCATGCAAGTGTTCAGGCGAGTTTCTCACCCTGTACCAGATGGGCTAGGCTCTGGGCCACTGTGGCCCCAAAACAGGACCCTCCATCTCAAGGCGTCTCCTAATGTGTCCCACTTCAGTGCCTTTCTACACAGTGGGCTACACCATTGAATAACCTATTAAAAACTGGTTAAAATACTTCTAACCAGGCACCGAAGGTGAGATACTGGTAACCAAACATGTAATTAGAAGAATGTTTTGAGTAAACTAGAGCAAAAAGAATTCAGAAAACTCCAAGGTCTAAATCGGAAAATAGGTTTGACAACTCAGGTTGGAACTAAATTCCAGAGTCAAAGCCTTCCAGGAGCTGAGCCTGACGGAGTCTACATGCACAGATGCATACCTGCTGGAAACCTGGAGGTCAGAGGACAGATGTGCAGAAATCCAGGACTTTTAGACTGAGGAGGCCAGATGTAATGAGGAAGGGACAGGAGAGAAAAAACGTCTGATCTACAAGGGATCAGGGGAAATACTGAGCTGCAGCTCAAAAGCAGCCAGGGGGATTTCTGGGAAGGTGGCAGGAATGCAGCAGATGAGAAGAGCCGAAGAATCTCAGGAGGTCTCTCCCAGCAGCGGATCAATAGATCAGAAAGAAAAGCCAAGCGTGATCACCCCTTTCCTGATCTGTATTCCTAGAGAGTTGGGAAATCCTCAAGCTCGATAACCTTTGCCGGCCCCAGTAGAAGACTACACCAAAGACCGCCATCCCTTCTATTTTTATTTTAAAAAATCATGAAATCAAATACATGTCCACACTTCTTTTACAGACATCTATATACATAACAAAGGAGAAAACATTTCTGGTCCTAATTACAAAATTCCGAAAACCTCTTAATTTGACAAACCTAAAAAAAAAAAACCAACAGAATATTTCCATAATTTTAGAAATTCTTACCAGTTTTATATGCTGAATATACAAAATTAACTTAAAATTGCTGTCTTTCAATACAACTGTGATTTTGTCTGTGCAGCACCAAGTCCTGCACAACACTGAAACAATTCCCCACAGTACTTCCTGAAATCTTTTCACAATATTGGTTCAATGTTTCATCCCATGGATATTATGGAAACTTTTAAAGAGAGATGACAGAAAAACAAGTGCAAAAAAACAAAACAAACAAATATCAGGGGTCATTTTTATCACTTAAAACCCTAGGAGGGGCAATGCTTTCACCCCAGTTTTGAAATAAAAAATAAATCACCTTTTTGGACCTCACAAATGGAAATGCAGCATGTTACATCTTAATTATCCACCCTCTACTGCTGGAATGAAAATTAAAAGGGTTTTAGAGTTTGTAAAACTTAAAGACAAAAATACCTCCGAACAAGACGGATCAAGATCACAGTTTCACCTTCTTCAGTACTATATACACTTGCTTCATAAACTGGAGTTATGTAATGAATTATAAATGTCTACTTTTGCACTTGAAATCTTCATTAACAAATTAACCTTTTGAAACACAGAAGGATCCTTTATAGTCGGGATGAAATTACTACTTTGTACAGATCAAACAGCTGCCTGAGTCTATAGAACATACTGAATTGCCAATAAAAATAATTTTAGAAACTGAAAATACAGATCTTAAAAAAAAAATCATTACAGGTCCAGGGATTCACAGGTAAAGGTGACAGACGCACCACTCTCCCTTTCAAACTCTCAACTGTTTTCTGAATTTCTCCTTTACAATATTTGATGACACTCTGTATCACTTAAAACGGAGCCTGCCTTTATAAAGTGTGTTGCCAAAAGAGATGAAATACTTTTTCAAAAACCTTTTCTTAAAATCATGGAGTATAAAACAGGATCTTTACGGTCACCAGCAACAGACTGCAATGCAACCTGAATTAAAACATATCTGTGGGCATTATGTAATAGATTACATATAATAGGCTCAATTATTTTTATTAATAGTGAAAGTGCTAGACTTGCTGGTCTTTACATGACTATCCTGTGTATTAAGTAAGTTCTGCCAAGAGTTAACCAAAGTGTTATACTGGCTTCGAAATGTCCAAAAAGCTTATTTCATA